AGAATTGCATTAGGGTCTCGTCCGTGGTGATCAGCAAGTCTTGAAGCCCATCTGCTTTCATTCCATACGTGGAATGAGCAGCGATACCCCGCGTTTGACTTCTGTGACACGGAATGCGATGCAAGGCAGACGGAGTCTGCAGTTGGTGAAGACGGGAACATGAATGTTCCCGAGCATGTTATACAACTTGAAAGCTGAATCTACAGGCACAATGGTTCGCAACGAAGAAACCGCTGTCTGGATCTCATCTTCAGACAATGATGGTAGGGAGTATGGCGGGGTTGCATATGGGATGATGTCGGCTGGAAGGCAACTATTGAACTCGGACGATTATCCGACCCAGTCCAGGGAAGTAATGTCGCCCGATCTAGCCACGATCTCCTGCAGGAGCCGGCCGAGCGCATTTTGGTTCTTCTCGCCATATATTACAGGCAGGTGGACGCCGAAGATACCAAACAACGAGTACGCGATGTCTTCCTGCATCGTGGTGACACGTTTTAATGCCCATCGCAGCTTCTCTCGAGCATCTCTCATCCCTGGACGGAAGGAGATCAGGGCCTGTGCATCTATTCCCGTCGCATACTCCAACTCCTTATGATTGCTTGGGACTCTTTGTGGTTGGGAGAGCGATCATTTGTATATAATGACCAGTCCTTCTGATAAAATATAACGACTTTCGGAGCGACGAATTCTTGAAAGGTCCATCCCCGTTCGTTCCAAACACTACTCGCCAGTGCGCCGGACGGGGATGAAGGAGGAACATCGGATAGGTAGACTATGGTGAGCGCTGAGTGACGGTACCAGACGAACATGGAATTGACCGATTCTTGAAGCTCGACGTTGTTGCTCTTGTCGATGCAGCATGTATCCATCCACGCCCAGAAATACCCCGCATCACGAGCGATTTTGCAGAACGACTGCAGTTTTGCGGTGCCATTAAGTCCATCCAGCTCGTACACGGCTTTGTCCTGGATGTGGTGCAGCGACGCCTCCGTCTCTTCCCACCTGTGTGATAGCAAAACGCAACGGAATTGCATCGCCACCACCTCCTTGATGCGTTCCATTTCGAGATTCGAACGCTTCGTTATGGATGACAAAAGCTCCTTGTATTCTGGACTTGTTTTGAAGAAGTTCAGCTGTGCTGCTCGGTCGCACAAAAGACCCCGTAGAAGTGTTGAGCAGACGAAGGGGGGCGTTGCTGAGTTCAATCCAAACCGCTCTTCGAATAGCATCTTCTGCTTCTGATGGACAGACGTACTGCTGACGCAGATCTGCAGAATAAGATAGGCATTTAAAGACGAGGTAGTAATGTTCCATGGCTTACCTCGTATCTGAGCTTCGGGAGCTTCGTCCAACCTGGACAACATGATTGTGAAGGCCTCGATGGCTTCTTCGTAACGTTGCGCGCCACGCAGCGCTGAGTGTGACAACTGGTACCCAACATGAGACGAAGGATTGAGTTCGATGACCTATGCATCGCCGAAGTCAACATGGGCTACGAAAACGTGGATGCCATCGCACCTTTCGCGCGTCGAGGAGTGCATCCTCCCATAGCATTTTACTCAACTTTGCCTGGCTGCGATTTCCAAAGACAACATCGGATGCATAATCCAGGTCGATCGCCATCGAGTATAGATCAATAGCTTTGTCGTAATCGCTTGCAGCGAAGGCGGCATCTCCGTTGGCAGAGCAGAGTGCGTTGCATTGCTGTTTGAAATCTGAGAGGAATACAGGTGAGAATTGTAGCCTGCGCAACATTACTGGCTCTAGACTCGCCGTTGGACCAATCAAGGCAGTCGGCTTTGGTGATTTCGTCACTCGAAATCATCATGTGTTAGTATGATTTCACGGCTTCTTGGAGTTTACCCGTCCGAAGGAGTGCATCACAGCGTTTATGGCGTGCCTTTCGCCACAACGACTTAAGGTCCCAGCCAAAGAGCTGGACAAGAGATTCAGTTATGAAACGTTATGCATGCATCATCTTGACGTACCACCACCAAATCTTCATATACTTCATGAATGTTCGATTTCGATGATGAATCGCTAGAGTCGATACCGGCAGTGAAATGGTCGGTGGCTTCGTCGTAACGTGCACCATCCAAGGCTTTCATTCCGAGTTGAACGTGTAGATATGCCTAATGTACGAGTTGTAAAGATGAGTGTTGAAACGTTGATGACCAAGCATGGATGACACTTACTTGCACGATGCTAGATGCGAGAGTGTCGGCATTCGGACAACCGGCAGCGAGCTCCTTGAGGAGCATGCTTGCCTCGTCATGTTGATCTGCATTGAAAAACGCGATGGCCTGAAATACGCGATGAGGGGAAGAGTATGCGAGGCAAATGTAACATACCATACCTTGATCAATAGCAGAAAATGAACGATTTCTGAATCCTGGTCCGTGTACATGGATGCAACATCAAAAGCTGCCCTCGCATCCAGGACGCGACCTTTTCCACAGAGAGCAATACCCTTGGAGATATAGCCCGTCAATGAGGGCTGAACCCCGATGGACTATGTCACCGTCGAGTTAGTGTATAAGGCGGTGATGATGCTCACCTTGATTGCATCCAGAAGGGCGCAGTCCCAGTCGTATTTTCGCGCCATGACGAATGGCCGATGGGCGTAGGAAGTATGGTTGTTCGGACTGGTGTTGATATCTTGAGTGAGTAGTCCTTCGGCGGTAGATAAGTCTCCATTTACACATGCAATACGGGAGGTCGTGATGGCTAGGATCTGCACGAAACATGCTCTAATTGTGGTAAATATGAGTCAAGAACGGAACATGCCTTTGAGCGATGGACGTAGGGAATATGGTTATTCGCGTCGGTATTGATATCTTGCGTGAGTAGTTCTTCGTCAGTAGATAAGTCTCCATCTATGTATGCATCGAGGACGGTTGTGGTGGCAATAGTCTGCAAGAAGCATGCTCGATTTGTGGTATATGAGTCAGAGATGGAAACATACCTTTGGATGTATACCCTGAGGTACTGTCCACTCTGGGATCATCTTATCGCTACCTCCACTGAAGATGTGATTGCCGTCCATGGAGAAAGTGACGCATGAATTAGTGAGTGAGTGCTTGAAGACGGCAATGGTTTGTCGGTCGGAGAGCTGCCAGAGACGGGTGTGGCTGTCACTAGATGTAGATGCAACGAGTGTGCCAGCAGGATGAATGGCAATGGCATTGATGTGGTCAGTGTGGCCCGTCCAAGGATCACCGACCTGCTTCCAGGTTGTTGCATCCCATTCGCGTATATGTAGTAGGATCTACCCTATTGCCGCCTGTGAGAAGGCGTGTGCCGCATCGGGCGTCCATGCGAGTGACAAGTTGGATGATTTGTGAGCCTTGAAGGCTTGAAGCTGAAGCTTGAATGACGTGACGCGTTTCCTGGTGCCTGAATTGTAATTTTTTTTCGTTTGCCGCGATGACAAGAAGTTCTCCAGATTTGAGTTCGACTCTACCACTCTCTACCATTCCGCCAGTTATTTCAATATCCGTCATGTTTTATCATTGTTTTCACAGTGGCCACCCCTGGCCACCCATGCGTATGCGGCTTTTTAGAGGTTCCCACGGTCTTTCAGACTGAGTTTCTTGGTAATATTACGTACAGGCAATTATTAATGTTTATGGTAACTTGATTTTCGCAAGCAACCTGACTTCGTGAGGAACCGAACTAAAAGTAGTGATCGCAAAGACATCGAGGCGCATTCCAGGGAATAGATTGTGACAGCTGAATACGGGCTCTGTGATGAATATCGAAGCTCTATTACAGCATGCATTTGCTGATGTGGTACCTAAAATCGCACGAGCTTCTTTCAATCAACTGTTACAAACTTCTTCCCTACACCATCGTCCTGTAGCTGCACCTTCACGCGCTCGTTGGCTGTGATCTCAATATCGTTGAAACCTTGGAGTCTCAGACTCCCGACAGCGGGTGCCACGGTGGATGCCTTCCCTGCCTCAGCAGATGCCATAATGAGGTGAAGGGGGTTTGACGGATCGAAGGTGGTCCTATAGCCGCTGTTCCTTTTCCGAGCATGCAAGATGCTGTACAAAGGGGAGGCAAACATGAGGATGGTGATGACGGTGAAGGGAAGGATAGAGATAAAATATGCCGACCGCCGAGTCCAGCCTATCGTAGATATGTACATAGTCCCATTGACTACGGAGGAAAGGTTGCTTGGGATGGTGTTGTCGGGGAAGCTACCCACAACCATGAACCCGGAGTGAAGGAACTGCCGAGTGATTCTAAGTCAATTTAAATTGGACCCAAGGGATCAGAACCCTCACCGTGGCAGAAAATTCAACAATGCCACGCAACACTCCTCCTAAGAAGGACATAAACTTAAGGCGGGCGAAGAATCGCCTCTTGGACCCGAACCAAGTGGCACCCCGACAAGGACCCCGAAAAAACTTTGTCAACACCGCGCTCAACAGCGCCAACAGCGCCAACAGGCGCTCTTCCGTTCCGAGCGGATCATTTTCATTTTAGTTCTTATTCCAAATACTACTAACTTTAGATATCATCACCCATGACTGGCCCTCGCAGAAGTGTCAGTGTCGGCGCCAACTCTACGACATCATCCCGCACAACCTCTCCGACATATGGCCTAAACACCCGTAGAACGACTAGGACTAATACCTCCCAGGAAAACATAGAAGCATTGCCAAACAAGGTTAAGGACTCGACAACTGGCAAAGCATTCCTGGAGTCGAAACTACTCTGCCATGTGGGAGAACCGTTTACGTTACCCCACCTAATCTCGGCTCTATTCCAAGTCACCCAGATGTCCAGCACTACGCCGGTTCACGTCACCTCGGCTATACGTGCTGTAGCATTCATAATGAAAGAGCACGCTGCAAGCGAAATCGCTGAACTGGCCGCAAAACAAATCACTGACAACCTCACAGCCAAATTAGTAGACCACGTGGTAGCGGCAATATCTCCCCAAGTAGCACTCATCCATGACGCCTCACAAACCCTCAATGCCACCATCGAAGACTCGACAAGACTACACACCTCCATCGGCAGAGAAAGAGCTGAAAAAGAAGACAACGTCAAGACGGCAGCAGACCGGATCGAGGAAGCAGCGGATGCACTATACGACTCAGTAGAGACGTATCAGAAAGCTTTACAAATACTAACCCCCTCACTAGACGCTACGCAGGAGAAAATTGACCTACTTCATTCACAGATATCGAAAAACCCACCTGAGACTCAGCAAGCTCCACGTCCCACCTACAGCTCGGTGGTAGCGGCACAACTTCCGCCAATGGTAGACCAAGCCATCAGCAGAGCGGCAATTCGAGCTCGACAAGTCCTGTTGGACCCAAGGCCAGGCGAACAGTTATTCCCACAGAATACATCCAACCAGGACATCGCCAACAAACTCAAGAATGCCCTCACAGCAGTACGAAACGACTCAACCCCGCCAGGCACTATTCGCTCAGTCTCCACATTACGCAATGGGGGCATCATAGTAGAACTAGAAAACGAAACACTAGCCTCCTGGTTCAATTCCCCCAATGGTAAAGCTGCGATAGAAAGCCAACTAGACACCTCAGTATCGTTCCGCCAACATCTTTACACCCTAGTTCTAGAATACTTACCTACCATCACGCAGATCGACAGAGACGGTTTTCTCAGGGACATCGAACAAGAGAACTATCTTCCAGACGCAACTCTCGCCTCAATTCGTTGGATAAAACCCCCGCAGAAATGTTCCGCAGGCCAACGTAAAGCATTTGCGCTCCTACTAGTATCGAACATCCACGTCGCCAACAACATCATTCGGGAGGGATTATGTGTCGAAAGTGAAAGGATTAACGTGCGGAAAGACAAGAAAGAACCACTTCGCTGCGCTAAGTGCCAAAAATTCAATCACATAGCTAAGAACTGCTCCTCCCCCCAGGACGTATGCGGTACATGCGGAGAACAACACCGCACAGCCAACTGCAACGCATACCGAACTAATCGCTGTGTTAATTGTCGCAACCAAAGCCACGCCAGCTGGAGCAGATCTTGCCCCGAATTCGTCAAACGCCGCAAAGAAATAGACGAGAGGTTTCCAGAAAATCGCATGCCTTACTTCCCATCAGAACATGCATGGACTCACGTAGCGCATCCCCCTCGTCCCTCAAAAACGCTTACTCCACCCTCGCCGTCTATACGCCACTCTCAGGAGTCTGTCCCAAGCCAATACTATCAAACCACCATCCCATTCTCTCGCTCAACTCCCCGCGAAAGTTCACCTCAACGCCCCCAAGATAATGAAATACATAAACTAATTGCCTCCGCCTCCCCTTTCTATCCTCCTACTCGCGACTCTACTGATAGCATCCCCCCTAGCTCCCCACCTCATGCCTGAACACACCAACCTCCAGAACGATAGACTACGTATTTGGCAACAAAATCTCAACACGTCAATGGTCGCTCAAGCTTCGCTTCTCAACAACTCAGCTACCGCCAAAGACTGGGACTTAATACTAATCCAAGAACCATATATAAACTTCCTTCATAACACGAACGCCAACCACCGTTGGCACGTCCTATACCCGTCTAAACATCGCACTAATCCCCAACAGCGTTCTCGCGCGGTAATGCTTGTAAATACATCAATCAATACTAACACATGGAAACAGATACCCTTTCCCTCATCGGACGTTGTCATCCTTCAACTCTCAAGCCAAAACGGTCTCTGTACCATCTTCAACATATATAATGATTGTAATAACCAAGACACACTAACGGCTCTGGACTCCTTTCTAGAAACCAACATTGCGACAATCCGACCTACCGAGAACGACAACATGTTATGGATGGGAGATTTTAACCGACACCATCCGTTATGGGAGGAAACACGTAACCGTCACCTGTTCAATTACGCCGTGGCCAGCCCACTCATCGACTTAATCGCCAACTACGGCATGGTCCAACTGCTTCCCTGTGGCATACCTACCCTCCAAGCCTCAAACTCCGGCAACTGGACTAGACCAGATAATGTACTGGGCACGGAGCTAATTGTGGAAACAGTGGTATCCTGTGACACGGACCCAGGGCAACGAGGCCCTCGCACGGACCACGTACCCATCCTCCTCACCCTAGAACTGAACACGCCAAGGACCGACGCCGAACCCAGAAGGAATTGGAGGGAAGTTGATTGGGAGAAATTCGACAAACACCTACGAGACTCACTCGAACAATTCCCCCCAGCACCTCTCGCGTCTGAGGAAGAATTTCAGCAAGCAGCACGCAGACTCACCAATGCCATCACGGATGCCATGGATGCCAAGGTCCCCATCTCCAAACCATGTCCACACTCCAAACGTTGGTGGACGAAAGACCTCTCCAAACTTCGCCGTCAAGTGACGGATGCCAGCCGGCTAGCGTACCGTCTGCGAGGACTGCCGGATCACGAATGTCACGCGTCGCTCAAGACACTTAAGAACCGATACGCCAAACAGATCGAAACCACCAAACGCCAACACTGGATTGAGTGGCTGGAAAATATAGAAGGTAATGATATATGGACCGCTAACAAATATGTTTCCTCAGAATCCTCCGACGGCGGGAAAACCAGGATCCCTACCCTCACCACACGAAGACCTGACGGCACCCCCATCGAAGCTTCCACCAACCAGGAAAAGAGCACCGTACTAGCTGAGTCATTCTTCCCGCCACCCCCAATTGACAATTTGATCCCCCCAGACGTTATCTACCCTGACCCGGTATCTCCACACATCCTGTTCTCCCAACATGAAGTCACTCGCGCCATCAGCAAGTTAAATGGTTACAAGGCACCCGGACCGGACAATATATGTAACATAGTATATAAACGTTGTACTAACACTCTAGCACCATACCTAACACACCTCTTCAACGCGGCCTTCACGTACCGAACGTTCTACGAACCGTGGAAGCGCTTCACCACAGTAGTACTCCGGAAGCCGGGAAAACCCAATTATTCAATCCCCAAAGCGTTTCGCCCTATCGCCTTACTGAATACCTTAGGGAAACTTCTCACCGCAGTAGTAGCTGAGCGTCTAACCTTCACGTTGGAACGTCACCATCTACTCCCACACACCCATTTCGGCGGCAGACCAGGACGCTCAACAACGGACTCTCTACATCTACTCGAAGAAACGGTCAAAAACGCCTGGAGATCGCATAAGGTAGTATCCGCCCTATTCCTAGATATCGAGGGAGCATTTCCCAACGCGGTCACCAGTAGACTAATCCACAATATGCGTATGCGACGCATACCAAGAGAAGTAGTTGAATTCACGGAACGCTTACTAACTCAACGACAGACTCAGTTACGATTCGACGGGTTCACTTCAGACTGGATCCCCATCAACAACGGCATAGGCCAGGGGGACCCTCTTTCTATGATACTCTATATTATCTACAGCTCTGACCTAGTTGAAGTAGCAAAGAAACGAAACGGCCATGAAACGCTCAAAGAGCTCACTCTGGCATTTGTGGATGATACGGCATTTATTGCTATCGGTAACTCATTCGAAGACACCCATCAAACGCTAGCGGACATGCTCGAACGGCCTGGGGGAGGATATGACTGGTCCCATACTCACAACTCTAAGTTCGAAACTAATAAATTTGCTTTAATAGATTTTTTGATGAATCGTCAGCGAGCACGTCCCGACCTACACATCCGAGGCATAACCATTCATCCGACTCCCACCCACAGATTCCTTGGGGTAATCATAGACCAAGAGTTACGTTGGAACGCACAGGTCGACCATGCGGTAGCCAAGGGGACAACCTACGTATTTCAACTACGCAGGCTATCCTCAACAGCCAAAGGCCTCCCCCTACGACTCATGCGCCAACTCTACATGGCAGTCGCCATACCCAAGATGCTCTATGCAGCGGACCTATGGTTCACACCAATGTATCGCGATGGCACGGATCAACTGCAATGCGGATCAATCAAGGTAGCAAGAAAACTCTCTCGCGTTCAACGTATTGCGGCAATCGCAATAACAGGAGCTTTACGGACTACAGCCACTGATGTATTAGAAGCACATGCTAACTTACTCCCTATATCCCTTCTCCTACAGAACATATGCCACAGAGCAATCGTACGTATAGCCACTCACCCCAACTCCCATCCTCTGTATATCCCAATCCGTCGAGCAGCCAAACGTTACGTGCAATCGCACCGCTCATCGCTTCACCGCCTCACACGCCAATTCCGCATTGACCCGCAAGAAATTGAGACCCTAATCCCCGATCGCAAATCCCCAACCTCCTCCAACAAACACAAGGTACGGATCGCCTCCTCCAAAACTCAAGTAATAGAAGACCACGCAGCAAACAACGACGGTATCCAAGTATACACGGACGGGTCAGGACACGACGATAAGATAGGTGCAGCAGCCATTTTGTTCAGAGCTGGCCGTCGCCCACGCAAACTTTTATTTCATCTAGGTACCAAAGACGAACATACTGTGTTCGAAGCAGAAGCAGTTGGACTAACACTTGCAGCGGAACTCATAGCTACCGAAGAAAACATCTCCTTCCCCATCTCAATCTTCGTGGACAACCAGGCGGTAATCCAATCCGGTGAGAACCTCTACTCGAAACCAGGCTCATATTTGATCGACCGCTTCTGTAACAGAATGAACCGCCTAGCGAAGACACACGAAGATTTCGACATCACCCTCCATTGGATACCGGGCCATGCGGACATTCATGGCAACGAGGAAGTAGACAAATGCGCAAAGAAGGCCGCAGAAGGACGCCGCAATAACAGCCCACAGGAATCCCTCCCGGAATATCTAAGATACGGCACACTCCCGCTCAGCGTATCGGCACTTAAGGAAGCCCATCACAAAGCCACTCACGCCCGCTGGGTGAGACTCTGGAGCAAGTCGCCCAGATACGAACGCATCAACCGTATCGACACCAAAATCCTGCAACGCGCTTTCATTAAGTTAACGACGACCTTCCCCAAACGACTCACCGGCCTGTACATAGCGTTACGCACACAACACATCCCCCTCCATAAGTACCTGCATCGCATAGGAAAGGAACGCTCACCTCACTGCCCTCACTGCCCGGGAACCGACGAAACAGTCCCCCATCTCCTCCTAGACTGCCCCCAATATCGCCATGAACGCCACGCAATGATCACAGCCCTAGGCCGCGAAGCCACCTCTGTCGCGTTTCTCCTCTCAGACCCAGCCGCAACGTCGCACCTAGTGCGCTACATCAACACCACCGGAAGATTCAAAAATACGATAGGTGTGATCCCGTTACCTCACGAGCCAACAGCCTGATACAGCACATATTTGTAGATCCAACCTGTAAACACTAATGCGCCTCTCACCATCATGTACTAACACCATGTACAACACCCTCAACTCACTCACCCACTCGCCTACACGGAATCAAGCATCCACAGCGGCACAAGACATACGGACCCAGAATAGTCAGATCAGCCCAAAGACTATCCAAAATCCCTATACAAATGCCCACCTGACTCCTGTACTAGTTCGCCTCGAGCGACCGAGTATGTGTTTAGATTATGTCACGATAGTACATCAGCACGAAGAGCACCTATAAATCCCCCCACCAGAGTGGCGCGTCTAAAACGGCCGGCGGGAACGGCGGACTGGCAGGGGTACGCCCTATGTCAGGGCATTCGCGCACTCGGGGACGCAAATAGGGACACCGGGGGTCCCTTAGATTAGAAAGTAGTGTCCTACATAGAGTACAACTCTGCAAAGGACATAAATTGGATTCAAAAAAAAAAAAAAAAAAAAAAGGCGGGCGAAGACCTTGCGAAATAAAACTCACCAGCTTTTTGTAAACCTGCGTCTGAGTTCCAGCATTGTCATTGATAGATGTGTTAGTTGTTGAGGAATAGATGGAGTACAGAGTATCTCTGATCAAACTGCTCAGAAGCCCCTGCCAGTAGATACACTGAAATGCGACAGCTCCAGTGATGAATGACATTAACTGTTCATTCTCTGATCGGAAGGGGGTGGATGAAACGACCTCGGAAAAAATTAGGCCATTGGAATAATCGGCGCGGACTGTGGTTAGCATTGGGACCACTTCGCATACACTTGCGTCAAGGAACCTATACTTATAAAATCCTTGTGAAAGAATCGCTATAGGAAAAGAATCGGTCAATGACTACAAACACATAGTTCAATGGCTCACTGAAGCTTGTATAACTTTGATTCAGACCCGAAGGCCCCGGGCACACGAGGCAAGGAAGAAAGCCACTATCTGACTGGTCTGCATCTCCACTTGCATTCACCACGGTCACATATTCCTGCGTCGTGGGCATATCTAGAAGCTGACAGTAAATCAGAGGTAATATATATACGGTCGGAACTCACTGGCACCGCAGTTTGCAGTTATATTCCACAGGCGAAGACCAGTGATGGAGTTGTACAAATTAGCTGGGTTGGAATAGATGACGGAGGAGTTACTCATGTGCTAATGGGCTGACAGCTGACTTTGGCTGTTAACCCCTGCTGCCACATGGAATAGTTCCTGCTGAATCCTTGAGGAATAGACACGCTGGTATGTTTTCTTGGCAGTGGTACTGTGTTGACTGTGACCTTTCCACCAGTAAACCCAAGACGAGTGCCATCGGCACCCAGGACTCCATTCGAGCAGGAATAGCCCTCGATGGTGGGCACAATCCCCTATAGGTACACAACGCATCATTACAAAACAGCTTCAGGTGAGCTGAGAATATGAACCTATGAGTGGATACGTCGTATTTTGTGCCATTGAAATTGAATATCCCAGGAAGACCAAAGGTATAGCCTGCATCAGAGACTCCGCTTAGCGTTCCGCCGATGTCGAGAATCGCGAAAAAATTGTCCTGAACTTGGGGTGTTCGTTTTAGAAGAAACGGACGAAACGCTGGGAAAGTAGAGATACATACTGGCATTGACACCCTCTGTTTGAAATTCTATAATGAGGTTAGGTGCGCGGAAGTGACTTCCGCCCGAAGGTCTGATTGATAAGGACAAAAAATATCACTGTATCGTAGGTATTGTAGGAAGCTCCGTTAAGTTGTAGCCAAGTTGTTCCCGTTCGTAGATGGACTTTCTAGCATTGAGCCTGACCACCAATTTACTGCCTCAACGAGCTTCGCATACAGAAACAATGTCACTCACACCGCCGCCATCATCGAGTTCATATAGGCTATGACGAAGGTTTTAGTGCCTTCACAGCGCAAAGGAAACATGCTGACACCTCCCTATCACCGCTCCGGGCACAGCGGTATAGAATTGCCCGATCAGACTGTCTTGACACGTATACTGAAACAGTCTTGATCCCTCTTCTTGCAAGTGTGGACAACAACCGGTCACGGTGATTGCTACAATACTAGGAACCGTGTGAAATGGAATGTACAACCGGTACGGAGAATTGCACGTACCACAAAAATAAACCCATGCTGATAAAATCCACATCGTGGCGTTGATGTACTGTCTTGATTTTCTCCTTCCATTATAGAATCCTGGATGGGTCAGACAACAGGTGAAGTAGAGTGACCACGCACCAAACATTACCCGTTCGTGCTGGTCGCATGAACAACCATATAGACCCTGTGCTTACAGAATCACGTAATGCGTTAGTGAATGCTGCTATTGGCGACCACTGATTCGAGGTATGGACTCATTAGACTTATTCAAAAACTATGCTATGACTGGCCGACCTTCGTGGTGAACCTGACTTCAGAGCTTCTTGTGTATACTCTTTGGCACCTAAGTGAGAGACCGTATAAGTTCAATGATCAAATCAAGCACTCACACTAAACCACTGACGACTAGAAACCAGGACGACGACAGAGCAGCGACGCCAGAATTGAAAGATTTATGTAACTCATGGCACAATCTATAGCGTCCAAAAGTCAGAGAAGGACACGACTGTTCGAAAAAGCTCACTGAATGTTGTAGTAGTGAGCGCACACTGACGGTCTGTGTTATAACTCTCCAGGAAAGAAATGATAAAAATGTGATCTCACAACTATGCCTGCGATCCAATGATCGTTGCCCGTGACTAAAAGAGCGCATTGAGACCTTTACTCTCGCAGATCCTAAAGGACTCACTGATTCACACCCGGTACGCATAGAAACTGTTCTGTTGAAACAAATAAGTATCATCCCGAGCGCTAGCGACTGGGAGAAACGTACCACTGAACAAAGAAAACTGATGGCTTGTTACTAGACTTCATGGACGACCAAATATAGCGCACTCCCTGACATAAACGCTCCCGGCTTTGTGGCCCATGCTCATTACAAAGTACACGACAATAGCACAAATGTAACTTGCCAGCGTCTGCCTATTTTCTAAATGAGCCCGTGTAGGATTCTAGGGACAAGTCTATCGACTTACCAGGGGAGTTTAGTTGTGCACTCGAGGGACGTGCTACGTCGACACGAGATGAGGGCAGACCGATATAACCCTATCATTGAATTGTTTCGAAAAGATTGACGTCATCATGGTATCGGCATCGTGTGGAGCACTCACAAGACTGTTGATGAAAATTGACATCAACAATTCTTTTATTATTAAAGTACAAAGTAGTGCTCACGAAAAACTTAATCTCGCGGAAAAGATCGCAAGTAGAACATATACTGCCCAAAGGATATCTCATAGAGCCTTACAACTCTGCAGGTCAATATTGGATAAAGACCGAGTGACATGAGTCCACACGCTGCAGCTATGATGCATCCTTGGCCTATAGTCAGCTGTAAGGTAGGGCGAATCCCCGGACTGCTCACCAATCATGATGCATTAATGAGCCCGGCCCCCACATAAATAGAATTGGGTGCCGTGGGACACGAAGGGGAAACACGATATATTAAAGAGAGCTGAAGTAGACGTTGAATCTGCGAGGCTCTCAAGATCTCACACCTTAGAGCAATTTGCAAAATGGTTCGCACTATCAGACGCGAGGGAGACTAGAAACTTGAAGTTACATAAAATACTACGCACCAAATATGGCAATCAAGACTCTCCGGCTCAGCGCACGTCCGCCGGGTCAATCTTGTGCTGCGAACGCCGATGGTGACGCGTCAATGAAAATGGTTGTCGATCGACGGTGATACCGAAGCGTTGGGTAGGCTGAGGAGATACCAGGGTTTCGACTTACAGTATATAGGATCCCCGCCCTCAATAAGACACAAACATACATCTTACATATCATGATACACACCAGCGCATTTTACATAATGGAGCTCAGCGAAGCTCGCGCGTTACTAATCGTCCAAGACAACACATGAAAATGCACTGAACTATCTACGCCCCTTTTCCGGGCACAAGGTGTTCCGAGTACGGCCGCCGTTCTCCGCGGCGACCATGAACTAGCACACCTCTCTGATTGATCAAAGAGTGCGTGGGCACGCCTTTAGGGGCGCATGCCCTGCTGCACGTTATTCCATATAGTGCTAGCGCAGTGTAATGTCACTCTACCGAAGAATGCGGCGACGGCGAAGATGCAAGGGATTTCCCTGGCACCCAGGGTGATGTTGCTGACGTGTTCATTGGAGGGATTGGGTTTCGGCTGATGATGGCAATTTAAGTTGGGATAGGTTCGCACAATATGCATGGCAAACTCACTTCGCAGCAGCTTCTTCGAAAAGAGGTTAGAATACGTATACACCCGAGGCGACGCCTGGTTAGTTTCACAGCGGATATAACAATAATGACAGAGATTGAGACGACTCTGCTTCATACCTGTTAAACCTGCGACTATGTGTGGAGTAAACCGCCGTGACATGATGATGGCTTTGTGCAAGCCACAACAGGCCACAACACGGCAATTGTATTTCCGTTTTGAGAGAGAGATTAAACTCAGCGGCTATGTTTACCTCGAGGTCGCAAATCGAAGAGGCCAACACGTAGGTAGATTTATGTTGTCGAAAGTCTAGCGACATTCCTCTCGCAAAAGAACAGACCAAGTATTTGCGCTGTTGACAAACACGTGCCTTGTACAAGTCATTGTCCATGAGAGCATGCGGCGGCCCAGACTGAACCTCAGCCCAGGTGACAGCGTGAAGCCTGTGGCGGGATTGATAGTCTTTACAGTGTCACAATTAGCATCTCCTGGCTTTAATAAAGCAAAGGCTGGATTTGCGGTTGTTCAGGGCAACAGTGTAACCTGGAGAAATATCAGCATTATTCAGTGATAATCTAGATGCGATAACGTACGCGACATTATGTGCAGGCAACAGATTAAAGTCTTGTAAAGCTGGAAAAGTGAAGAGTACTTGTCTGTCCTGTAGCACAACTTATGCGTATTTAAATCTGCAGGTCCAACGACATGCCGCGAGGCAGCCAAAGTGAATACCGATAGTGTCCGATATCGTCTGCATTGATCACGGAAACCAGGTAACCGCAGTTCCCGTGGCCACAATGAAGAAAGTCCCGCCCGTCGTGTTCAATCAGAAACACTGCACAGGATAAACATAACTGCAATTTATTTCAGAAGCTGCAGAGGAGTGCTCTTGAAGACCGAGGTAAACATCACCTGTTTTGCAAAACCGCTCATCTGCTCTAACAACCATGGAAGGCAGAGTCCCTGGAAGACGGAGCGGTACCAAGAATGATATACAACAGTGTCAAACAAATAACACACGCAACGTTTCGGTCCAGTTTGAACACCGATCGAGGCACTAGGATGCTAGCAAAATCGGATATAATGGGCCTATAGTCTGGTTAACCTATATTGGGGGGACAGAACCAAGGAGTGGCTGAGATGCGATCTATTTATGCTATGATGCAATGCAACCAGCAACAATTCCTGACCACAGCGGCTCTGCGCGCTTGAGAGAGGCCCGGTGAAGATGTAGATGAGAAAAACTTAACGATCGCGTGGCCATACGACGCGCGCGCGAGGGTCGGACAGATACAGCGGAGATTTATGGTCGACACTCTTTCCATAAGTCCGATAGCAGATCGATCATACCTGGGGCCCAAGTCTAGTCACCGACATGTGACAAATCTGGGAACTGATGGAGGTCGATCAGGGTCGATGGGAAATCATTGGCAAAGAAGAGTGTTTCTCTGTGCCGATCGAAACAAAAACATGAACCAAGGCCTCCCGATTCCTTGAACCAGTTGGCAATCGTGTGGGCGATGGCTGATTTGCCCTTGCCCGCAGGGCCAGATAGCCACAGCACCCGTTGAGCAGCATCTCCGCTGCCATTGATCCAGTCTGTAATCTGGGAAAGAATCCCCGTGCGCGTCCCTTGTAAGCACTGTTTCATGGTATCTAGTCCTGCGCCCTTTGCATAAGCGATATCCCCGAGATCCAGGGTGTCGCCTGAAATGGTCTGAGTGAATGTAAAGACAGAGGTGTATCAGAATCCTTACCTGCACGTTGGACGAAGATGGCCACGTCCCGATCGACTTATTGTTGCATAAGGCCGTCCAAAGCGTCGCTGTACTGTTTGATCGTGTCATCAGTTTCCGAGATAACGTTTTTCCCGAGTCTCTTCCCTACGATATAGTATAAGATTCATATACAATTACGATAGCTTGGTGACTCACAAAAGCTCTTCGTCTCCGAGTAGTCCCTGATGAAACGGGCGCACTCAAGAGTCTGGTGAAGGATCTTTTCAACGATACAGCACGTCGATTCAAATTTTTCAAGACTGTCATCTTGAGCCATGAAGCGGTAAACTTCAGCCAATTTCTTGAGAAGACTAATAATCGATTGATCGCGCTGTGCCTACGCGATTATGATCTTCATGGAAAAAGAACTTCTGAGCAGGAAACTGAATTCCGGGAGAAACCAAACATACCTTGGATGCAGCAGATAGCGCACCTAGCGCCATCTTTGCGTACGGATGTACCTATACAACTTGACAACTTGATTAGTTCCCTTTCAAACAACAAGAATGACCCATACGTCTGCAATCTTCTCAAGGACAGCATCGATAATCTTGAGGGGTTGGAGATACGTCGTTTCAAAATCATCTGCAGCAGTAAGATCCGCTGGGCCAGTGTCAATGGCAGATGCGACAGAAGTCGCATGTTTCCCGAGTGATCGCATGTTTTGTGTGCCACCACGGGCACCCTGAAGTTTGGCGTCAACTAATTGGGGATCAGGTCTTCCTTCCTCGCCAGAAGAAGCAGCCTGAACCTGTGGTACCACCAAAATTAAAGAAGAAAATCAGAGTGTTTGATTGAAATACCTCCGGAGCAGGCTCTCCGGGCAGCCTTTGGTTCACGGAGTCACTTGGAATATCAGATGTGGTGGGATGCTTGTTGTCGTTGCAAGGATGGAGATGCAACGTGTCCTGAGCGCCTCTAAGAAAACTGAAGGACTAGGGTAGCAAGTTCGAGCACTTACCTCGGCTTGCTGACTCGATGAAGCCATTGCGACGTCGTGGATCACAGTGGTGCGGTTGCGTGTTCGTTTGGAGCGTTTCTGTACAATCTTAGCCGTATTCAGGACGAACAGTATTCACGTCTACGCACAGGAAGCTTTTTGGTTAACCCATTCTTCAATTTCCGCAGGAACTGACAAGGTCCTCTACGAGGTTGGTTCTGGATGAGTAATGCGTAAGGACGACGATAGATTTCAAGAGACCACGTACCAAGCTTTCAACTACATTTGCCTGATTGAATCTGGAAGTTTCTCGAGGAGGATCGATATCCGGCCTATGATCTCCAGTCATCGCGAGTGGTTGTAGATTTAGATCGTTGTGAAAGAAACGGTGGGGTACACTGAGAAGTGGTGTGAGAAGGGAATGGGCGTCCCACTCTTTGGCAGAACTTTAAAGAGCATTCGAAGCATGATGGCCAGCATGTTGACTTCAAGGGCTATGCATTCAGCCACACAATTCCCATCAGTTCCAGCGGGGCGAGCCCATTGCTGAAGCAGACACAGCTCAGCGACAGACGAAGTCAAATACACAGCTCTCCCAGCTCGTCTTTTTTTGAATTTTTATATTTGGCCATCTAGGCTCACATAAGCTCAGGTAACTAGGTTCCTCGATGGCTCAACTACAAATGAAACCAAAACGTTCTCCGAATCCAATCAAATGTTCGAAATCAAAGCAAACCTTGAGAGGACAACCGTCATAACCTGTTTTGGATGCCGGCGGGAAAGTCACGTGACGTGTCGGGGGGGGGGGATGAGCTAGGTGAGCTAAAAGGAAGGCTACTGATGGGCTCGAAGGTCAGTCATCTGCTGAGAGCTTGGAGGTGTCGGCCGAGACTTGGAGCCGTGACATCTTTGGTATGGAGCTGGAAGCTGATGATGATTGGCCTGGCTCAAATACCGTTGTGAAATTTGTAGTGCTGCATCTCATCTACGAGGTGTCTGATTACTGTACATACTCGACTGTTGATCGATAAACTGCTTGCTACTGATCCATCGTCATTTCTGGAACTCCGAAGTTGAAGTCGGGGACTGGCGCTTCCTAGCGCTGCTACGATACAATACCTTTGATTAATGATATTCGTTCAATAGCTGTCCAAAAGATCAGTCGGACACTCGATATGGAATTAAGTCTGTCTTTCTGGGCCGTACCGTTAAGTTGGGTTTGAATCTCCGTCAGGACCTAACGGCCGTACATGCACAGGCGGACCGCAGCTGGAAAAGGAAATCGACGCCGTAGACTCTATTCCTCGTCAGTACCTAAACGCCAAACCATCATCGATAGATCGATAAACACTTATCTTATACGATGTCGCCCCAAGATGCGGTAAGTGTGCCATCGTGGTGTCCGATCGTGCGTGCTCACTCTTGGAGAACGGATCAGAAATGCTGTAGCATTGATCACGCCCGGAAAATAGTGGCGGAGAGGAGGGAGATGGAGATGGAGATGAAGAGGCAGAGGAAGAAGCATAGGCAGAGGGAGAAGGAGAGGCAGAGGCAGAGGAAAATGGAGAGGCAGAGGCAGAGGCAGGCGGAGAGGCAGAGGCAGAGGCAGAGGAAGAGGGAGAGTGCGGAGATCTCGCAGTTGGAAGGGAAAAGGTCTGGAATCCTGTCGAGGTGGCGGCGTGGGTTGTCAAATATTTTGGGCTGGGGAGAACGGATTGATGGTAAGCGTCCCATGAACAATGTAATCTGAAAACCAAGCAGTAATAACGTCCAGTCCTAGCATGATCTTAACACTACCAATGATGTGGCTAGAAATTACGACCATGCTATCCAGACGTTGATGTTTGGTATCCACGAAGGCTCATGTAATTACTCAAGATGTCTAACATCCGGACCATCTGACTGAAGATGAGCACACGATGACCACCTTGCCGAAGGCGTACGAGGAGCTTGTCAAGGAGAACCATCTCTCCGCAAGGCCTTTGAGAGTGTCGTCGTCAACGTCAGTGCGCACTTCGGCTCCGTCGGTGATTCGCAGCTTTTTTGAGCTCCATCGCAAGGTTGACGTTGTTGTTCCCATTTGCACTCTCCACCAACCCCTGGAAGTTCTGGACGAGGATGAGCGAGAGTTGATAGCCAGCCCAATATAAGCCTACCTTTGTCAGGATATCTACAATATTTTAAGCACGAGATACCGCCGACTCGGGCGCAATTGTGTCCACTACGTCATGCTGTGTTGTTGTGCTTTGATAGTTTCGTCTCCTTTCTGTTTCCTATTTGCTTTCTTGTAAAAATGCGTCTGCGGAGACATTTCTACTCGAAGGATGCGCTCACTCTTTTGTAGGCAAGGAAGTAAGGACATCAAGTTTCAGTCGGTGGAGCATGAGTGACTCGAGTTGTTGATGCAGCTCCTTGACCTTGACTTCGTGATCCGCGTCGTTAAGATGGGATTCGTCGGTCAAGGCGACTATGATAAGAATATGGCACAGAACCTACACCTCTCAGGTATCAGGAAGTGCATCAATGAAAACGCCTCTGCACGCGATGCGGCGTCAGCAAAAATCGCCACAACTCAGTCGTAGTAACGCGCACCCTTGAAATTGTTGTGCAGTGGCGTGCCAGTGATCAATAGCTTTGTACAATATCACGGCGTATTGATGTCATGCTCACCTTGCCATTTCACATCTTTTGTACAGACCCCCTTGAGTGTTATGTGATAGTTGCGCGTCCTAAAGAATCTTCGTGAGGTAAGATGTGCGTGTCTGCCGCTCGCGTATCGTAACAATCTCAAGGCACTCCGCCTTGACGACGTTTCGAAAAAACTTACGAGCATCTTGCCAAACATGAGGCTGGTGTGCGATATCATGCAGTTGTGCGCCAGCTCCTAGAGGGGCCATGCAGGTAAGTATGATCCCGAATGTGAAAGCAGCACACAACAGCCTGCCTTAAGACCGAGATTGACCCGGGACTGCGATATACCTGAGCCGTTGAACTGGCAGAGAAGACTGCGGGTCATAATATGTGTCTGAATATCTCACTCATATTAGTGTACTGTATGGCATCCCTAGTCTGCGCCTCACCTAGGTTCTCTGCAGTGTCGTCGTTTAGATAGTGAGAATGAAAGGTTTCTTCTTTTTCAAAGTCCCATTTGCCTTCGGCTTCATGCAACCTACACATCCCCTTTGGGAGATAGATAGATCCGGATGTCAACTAGATATGACCTGCAAAGCTTTCGAACGGTGATGAGGCCGAGCTAAAGCTGCCTTTTTGCTCCCCTCAAGGATTGTGCTTCCTTCTTAGTCATAAGCTTTATCAGCCCACGAAGAGCGGAGGCCCGACCTAGCAATAAATTTCTGCCGCCCAAGGTCTGTCAGGTATTGACTATGCACGTGGGAGAGGACCTCACCACCACAACAGCTTGCGCTGAGGATGCAGGAGCATAGTCTTTGTAAAAGGCCAGACCACCAAAGACAGCGGGTCTTCACTACCGACAATTTTGCGAAATGAACTGTTCGCAGCACAGCGGAAAAACCAGATTTCAAACCATCGACTTAAGTCTTAGTTGGTCTCGTTAATCGGATGGACTTACAAATTGTAATCCATCGATGGATTGTAATCGATTAGGATCAGTTGCCACGTAGTATGGTAGTACCAGGTGATTGAGTTTTGAAGCTCCAGTTAGCACCCTTGAAATTGTTGTTTTGCAGTGGCGTGCCAGTGATCAATAGCTTTGTACAGTATCACGTTAGTTTGACGGAAAGGAAGTGATTAGTCGGGTGTGGAGACGAGATCCGAGGGGTGTGGTTTGGACCACGAAGGCTTCGCCTTCGTAGTCGGTGGAGAAGGTCTGGCAAAGCCAGACCGCAGTAGGGAGCGCGATCTGGAAGGTTTTTAGTCCGACAGCTTTGGAAGTTGAGAGAAGAAAAAGACGTAAACTCACCTAACAATCTAAACATAATTGCCTGAAAATTTACCCCTGCTCAATTTGGACAACTTCAAACCGCTCATTCACCGCGGCTAAGTAGTTTAAGTTACGTACCAGGTCGTGAAAATAGTGGTCTTGCGTTCAATTCTTGGTTTCTAGTATGAGCATCGATCCTTGCTTCGGCGGTTGCAGGTTCTAAGGCGGGAACTTGGATCGCCTGGCCTGGTATCATCGGTGGTACCTGCGACATGGTTCTCCCTTGCGCAGTACCAGTATAACCAGTAATTTAAGATGCCAGCCCACGCCGAATACAATCCGCCATCTCCTAGAGAATTCTTCGCAGAGTGGGCTAGTATCAGAATTTGTGAGATACAGTAGATATTGAGAGAACTTGCTTGAAACGGTACGGCAACCATAATCGAAACAAAGGCCATATATGCTCGGAATGAACTGTTTGCTGCACCCGCTGACCACGAGCGATCAGGGTTCGCATTAACGAGGTACAACGAGCCTTGGATCAGTTGCGGGGGCTCCTGCTGCGATGCGACCGCCTGGCCTTAAACTGATAATTTTGGTAGCAACGCTGGCACTTGGTCTTGTAGCCTGCGTCCCGCGTACGGTGAAGCGATTAGCATCTAGGTTTTATGATGCGAGCGAAAGTGAGACGAAATTGTCATTACTCGACCGAATTCTGAGCTAGTACTCCGTAGTTCAAAACCCTAGATATGGTGCATAGCTTGGATGAGATAGTTGGACGTTCTCTCTTTATCTCCAGTGAACGAGTCAGCACCCTTTATGGCGCTCGTTCTCGTTCATCCACCTCTAATCAGAACCCGAAACATCAGCGCGAGGGGCATGCGAATACAATCCACATACCTTTAAGTGCCCATCTAAAAATCGGCGTCCGGTAGTATGGTAGTGACAACAGTGTGGCGCTGCAAGTCCATCTCTGCCCTGCTCTTGGTCATATTAAAGGTTAATTGGAACCCTGTAATAACGCTGCCAATTCGCTCCTCAAAGTCGCGGTGGAGCGCTGTGATGATGCCCTTCAATTTGCTAGTACGGACTTTGCTGTCCGTCGACCTCCAGTCGTTAATTCCCTCTATGTTTTTCATAGATGGGTTGTGAAATGAAGATACGGTACGGAAGACGTATCGTTTGCATGATGGGCGACGACGTCGTCAAGAGCTTTCTCCGCCCTCGCTGTAAGCTCCTTTGCGGTAGGAAAAGACCTCTCCTCAAAGGTCAAGTTTATCATCTTCGCGTCAGCTTCTTCGTGTGAGTACCAATACTAGTAGTGGCAAGGATTTAATTCCATCCGATGATGTTGAAAGTAGCTGTACATACCTTTCGATGTAGACCTGCGAGATCACTGGAGGTCGCGGCGATGATAAAGTGAAAAAAAAAATTGTCTGAGGTTGATACTATGATGACAATCACCGTGTTGCCAAATGGTGTAGTTATTGATCACGATCGCAGGCTGAAGCCGGTAAGGTTGGTAAAGACCACCGCACTGTGATTTTTCCTACCTCAAGTCTATTTCACCCAGGCGGGACGCAGGGAGTAGCGATGGAAAGGATGGGCTTTAGACAATGTAGCCTTAGAGAGTAGGTACTAACGATCGATAAGAACCAAAATAATATGAACAAACATATGATCTAAGCGGCAGTTACCGCACCACTTACTTCTTGCACTCGGCAACTGGAGGGGCCAGTTGCAGAAGCAAGCACTGGCCATGGGCATAAAGCAGACGGGTGAGTCCCTAGCTTTGATTCGAGGCGCGCCCCTTTCTCCACTTTCTTGGGGCTGTTTCTTTGGCACCTCTCAGGCGCTGGTTGTGAGCCTCACGCCGTGGCGACGTTGTGAAGCTCGGTACGGCCGTTTGCCCCCAAGCTGAGCGCGCTGCTCGGCCTCGCGCGTCGCGCTTGGCTGTCGCAGAAGCTCGGTACGGCCGTTCTCCCCGAAGCTACCTGCGCGGCCTTTTGCGCTTGCCCCTTGCTGTCGAATTTACCTTGGCATCTTTGAAGCCTCTGACGAACTTATTTGCAGTGAATTGAGATGGTCCCAAGCTTGACTGCTGAATGCGGTTCAGAGGCCACGCGTCAGCCGATTCCTGCGAGGTGCTGCCCCTGCAAAGAAGGTAAAGCTCGAGGGCGCTGCTGACCCCTCAAGTAAGGCCCTGCCTTCGGGGTCCAAGGTTGCGGACCCTCCGCGTGAGCTTACCAAGTCCCAGGCTAAGGTGAGGGGGACGTCTAGACCCCTGCCGACCGCGGCACTACGACCTCAAAGCTCGATCAGGTAAGTCTGCTTTTCGCAGTCCTCGTTGTACCACGCCCATTGCGTCCTGGATTACTGGGACAGTCACTGCCTCCGGCCCTGCTACCTCTTTCGATCTAAAGGGCTACCTCACACCACTAAGTCGTTCTCAAGGTTGGAGCTGAAGTAGGCGACATCAAGCTTGCTCGTACGTCGTTTGACTCGCTCATCAAGTCAAATCCTAAACATCGTATTGCAGCTGCACGTTTGGAAGAACGCGCTGGCTGTACATTTGCCGCAAGGGAGCTCACAAAGCAGGTTGCCAAAGGCGTTCCAAAAGCGATGATGGTCGGTTCGGAAGGTTACACGTACGTGAACCGCGGTACCCCCTGCGCTGTCGCCGGTATGCCTTATAGAACGACGGCGATGCAAAGTCATTCTTGCCAATGCCGTTGAACACCTCGGCCAGAGCGTCAATATCTGGCCTACAGGACCTTTGACGTGACGTTAATCGAAGAAACCCGTTCTGCGTAAAGGTATATAATTTTTTCGTTGAATTTACCGCAATTCATTCACATTGCACAGCACTAGAGAATAGCATTAACTCCTTTCGGGAAGCTGTCAACCTTGAAGAATCAGCTGCGGACGCCCGCATACTCCTCCCATACTACGAGGCGATCCCACTTTCCGTCGAGCTCTGGCCCGCCCTTGCCCGTCCCGAAACCCCTGAGCGCGCCAAAGTCGTCGTCAACAAGGCGCGCAAGACCGTTTCTAAGTCGCATGAGATCTCAATTACCACTGGACGCCTGCTCGAGCAATCGGAGGTGATGGGTAACCCCAGCAGGGCTTCAGAAACTAGAGACGAAGACCTCGAGCTGGTGGACGGGACCATCAAATTTGGTGTCCGGGCGGTGCTACTTACACGCGAGCATGTGAGTAAAGTTTATGTAAACCAAAGTCTTATGGAGAATGACGATTGACTTGTTTTCAGCACTGCCACTGGGAGTCTCTCGCTCGAGGATCAAGGTACGGCGCAGAAAGACACACTTGATTCCATGTCGAGTGTCCGACTGATCTTTTCGACATCTATTGAACGAAAATTCCCCTCGGACAGGAAGCTTGCACGAATATCATTGCTCAAAGGTATTGTAATATTGCAACCAATGAATCATGACTTGAAGATTTTCTTAGAGAACGTTCGCATGGCTCACCTGGCATGCATTGGTGAGCTTTGCAGTACTCATTTCATATTCCTACTAATGTGTGTGTGTGTGTGTGTGTGTGTGTGTGTGTACAGGCAGTCGCAAAGTCAACGGCGTGGCCGAGGTAAATCTTCACTAAGTAGCCATCATCCGTCTGAATATGTACCATTACCCCTCCAGCTGCATAGTGAAGTGGTTCAGATGGCTATTTCAAAGAATTTTTACGGAGCTTACAAGTAATTTCAATTTCGAAGCTGAATTAGCGCATGCGGTTTTGTGCGCAAGGTTTGGAAATGTGACCAACGGCAGTGAGTATGTGTACTATGGTATTAATTCAGTTCCATAAAGATCTGACTATTTGGACAGATGGTGCGAAGATCGAGGTCGCGGAGGAAGTTGGCCCTAGGAACGTTTGTACGTAGTCTGGCATGCATGTATTGCCTATGTTACAGACTTACTGTTCTTTTGTAGTCTTCTTCGATCATCTGACACACCCGCAGTGGAAGACCTATCAACACGTATACCACCCCGTTCCTGTCGAGCAGAAGTCCCCTGCTCTTACACAAGTCCTTAACGAGATCTGCTCTGGGTTGTTTGGCGACAGAGGCGTGTACGAGCCATAAGTAATGTTACAACAAGCGTATGATGAAATTCACTTATTTCTTTGAACAGCCTGCTCAACACGATTCGTCAGGGAGACTGACATCTTATCATTGAAGATTTGACTGCTGTGAGCAACATACAGGGTGAGCGATAACGTCCCTGATGAACCCTTTTCAGACATTGACGCTCATCGCATGGTAGACGAACCCTATAATGACCGAACTGAGTGGATTAAGAAGAGTATCGGACCGCAAAGATATGAATTATCAATTCCAGTAAGAAACGTAACAAGGAATAATTCAATTTGGAACAGATGGGCAAGTTCAGTTCTGATCGTGCGATCCAAGATTACGCGCAGGAGTACTGGGACATTGAAAGCACTAAGGTCAAGCCGGGAAAGGGCATGTGAGATCTAAAGGGAAAATGCTGGGGCCGTGTGCGGGCGCATAACGATCCAAATGACAGTTGTATGAATAATGTGAATGCGACATCTGGAATCCTGTGACAGGCTATCGAAGGAGGTACGGGTGCAGATGGGGCCCGCTAAATGACAAAGGACTGACAAAGGACAGTAGGAGGTTTCGGGAACGTCCTATAGCTTTGTTGTTCGTAACACATCGGTGATGTCGTCATTATGGAGTACAACCCGTGTGGCTTAGTCTGTGAGTACGCTCATAGTCGTTCCTTCGAAGTTGTATCTCAAGGAGGTGACCGATACTTCCGATAGCACTGACGACCACATTTACATGGACTTTCATCTCAATGCCAATCAGATGCTCTTTGAGATATCTATATTCGCAGTGTGTCCTCATGAATAGTCTATCGTTGACTATGTGGACACTCCCGATTTAAGGCGGCGCTGTGCCTTGATAAAGAATGATTGCAGGCACAGAAGGATTTTTGGATGTTCCTTCGTTGCTTGGTTATATAGTTCGAGAGATGTCGGTTTCTCTATCATCAACATTATCTCTTGCGTCTCTTGAATATATTGTCTGTGCTGCGGGAGAAGAAACTCCTGTTTTCGTGACGATTTGTTGCAATCATCGCCTTTTTCGCATTCATAATATTCAGTATTTGACGGACGTGTTTTGAGAAAAGAAACTATGAAGGTAGCGGGCTTTGCCACGCATGTGGCCTTGAGCGACTTATATATATAGAGTAGTACCGGTAAAAACCAATTGCTTGCGATCGGATGGCCCCGCAAAAAATCATGACTGAAGCAGCGGAATACGGATATGTACAAAACACAAAACGGGATGGTCATGTGGCGTAGAACGCCCCAATTATTTTGGTTCAATATAGTCCCTCCGAACTGTACATTACATGCCCACAGCAAAGCGCAGGCAGCCTAAGGGCATGCAACATAGTGATAAGGTCCCAAAGCACCCTCGCCTGGATGGGCCTTCTGGCCAGTCCTCTCCCACATCAATTGGTGGGCCTACCTGTTGTGAGCACTCCCATACCCCAGACCACTTAGGACTACTCTTCTCCCTTCCTACCTCCGTCTGTCCCGTGCTTGAACTGTTAGGAATGTCATTTGGGCCATATGGTTTCATCTGTAAGATCAGTTCTGCTCTAGTACCAGCCCGCCTTCTAGGTGGCCATGTGGGGCATAATCACCATAAACGTAGGCTCCCAAACAGAACAACAGTGTATAGAGAGGGCTTAGTCAAGCATCTACTTAAGAGCCATGGACTCGTAGCAACAACACCCTGTCCTAGCCCTACTGGTGACCTATCTGGCCCCATCCAAGGCCTTCAGCCACTGTGGTCATCAATGTGTCCGCACCCTGGCTGCTCCTTCTGGTCCTTGATGCAGATATCGAGAGGTTCTGTCAAGAGTCAGCAAATCAATACTAGGAGTCATGTCACTGCAGTCCATCCCGAGCATGCGGCCACTTATCTAGCTGACAGTTTTGAAACTCGATGGATTTATCGTCCATTCAACAAAATTGTGGATTCAAACGACCCACTGGTTTCACTTGTCTGGCCTTTGGCTGAAGGGTGTACTCCTGTACTTTCTGTAGAAGATATACTGCCCTCCCCCTTGCAAATCTCCTCTCATTTTTTACCAACAACTCCTCTCTACCCCCAATATTCAATTGACCTCCGGTGGCCCAACTTCATCACCAGCTTGGGCGCACAAGCGGACTCTCTTCGTGGGCTGATAAAGCTTATGACTAAGAAGGAAGCACAATCCTTGAGGGGAGCAAAAGGGCAGCTTGAGCTCGGCCTCATCACCGTTCGAAAGCTTTACAGGTCATATCTAGTTGACATCCAGACCTATCTGTCTTCCAAAGGGGATGTGCAGTTTCGTCAAGCAGTGACATTACAGTGAGTACCCTCCTCATCCATTTATACATAGCTCATGGTCTACTCAGCACGAAGGCGCATTTCAGAGCACTGAGCCGACTTTCTTACTACACCTACTCCAGACCTCTATCTCGCTGCATCTGTATGCTCATCAGATGGATCCACGCAGAGCACACCGGGACTTTGGCGGTATTCGGTACTCTTCACATTAGACGGAGTCTGGCCCAGGAGTACGCTGCTAACATGCTCTACCATTACCTCATTACAACCAAGATTCCCCGTCCTGCTGCACTTCTCCAACTTCTGCATCAACTGCTGGTGACCCTCGTCAAACAGAAATTTACGGACTTAGAAATGATGGCATGCCCTACAGATTACGCCCTATGCATGGCCTCACTGGCTGACAATGGCGGCTTTCTCCTTGCTTCCACTGCCACCAAGACCTGTGCAGTGCTGCAGCACAACTTCTATACCGTCATCGTCCACTCGGCTCGGCTTGAGGACCACGGCCACCAAAGTTTCATTCCTTTTCGTTTGGATAATTTCACCCTGGATCCTGTACCGGATACAGGTGAGGCGTCTCAGCCTATGGAGGAGTCAGCCGCTGCTCCGGTCCCCCCGGATGAGAGGGAAGGTGCCGATGATAGTGCGGTGATTGTGCAATTTGAGGAAGTGGAGGAAGAGTTTGTAGATGATCATAACGATGATATGGGCTCAGAAGAGGGAGAGTCTATGCTACCGCATGAAGCCGAAGGCGAATGGGATTTTGAAAAAGAGGAAACTTTCCATTCTTACTATCTGAACGGCGACACTGCAGAGAACCTAGGTGAGGCACGAATTAAGGATGGCATACAGTGCACTAATATGAACGACATATTCAGACACATACTATGACTCTCAGTCTTCCCTTCCAGCTCAACGATGTCCAGCAAAATTTGTATCCAGGAATGATCAAGCTCCTGGATCCTCGTCTGTCTTAAAGTAAGCTTGATTGTACAGTTTATTACGCTTACCTACTTTGCCTGCAGCATTTTGGCAGAAAACCTACCCTACCTTCAGCCTTTGATCGCCAGTCACCCCTCGTTTGCCACACCGTACAATCAAATGAAAACTGTCTGGTTTGCCGCAAGGTTGACAGCGTTAAAAGAGCAGAGAAACTACGGGTTTATCTTTGCTGAAGACGGCACTGCCATTACCATGAGAAACGGTCGTGATATCTCCCATGGTATCCTTTTTTCAGATCTTGGGAGATTAGCTGAGACTGCAATAGCAGATGTATCAGAACAGATAATGGAATGTCTTCCAGACGGCTGCCAGGGCCTTCTTCAGCAGTTTCATGGTATTTTCAGCCAGTTAGTGGACGACCTCAGTAGTCCCCACGCCATTTTCCTTCAGCCTTCCAATCGCGTTCTTCTACAGCCACTGTTGGACATGATGTTACAACGTCTGATGGATCCAGAAGAGCCTAAACATCATATCATGTGTTCTTCTTCGTTGATCAATGAAGAATGCGCAAGACAGTGGCTGGATCTCGATGAACGAATTCTTAGTCCAATTATCGTCGCCTTTCTCCTGACATGCGGTATTCCTCCTCGTCACTGGCAATTTCGATCCCTACTATTCCAGTCAGATAGCAGCACTGGCAGTGCTCGTAATCTCTATCTACTAGGCTCGGAGCTTGTTATAGGGAATCCGGAAGCAAAGCAAATCAATCAAGTTACACGAGAGTGCCTGTGGGCATTCCCTCCTAGCCTTGCCCCACTCATCTCGTTCTACCTGGCTATAGTACGACCTTCTGTGATTCAGATCTCGGGCCTAATTCATCACGTCAATCAAGCTCACCGAACACATATCTTTTCTCAGACATTCAGTTCAACCCGCCTCGAATTCCCTCACGTTTGGAATGGTAGCGATGTCAATGCTGCACTGTGGGCACATACGTCTTCCCTCGATGTTCGGTTGACATGCAATCTTTTACGAAATGCAGTCACAGCGATGTACCATCAGTTCTTCCCCACACTCTCGCAATCTGAATCCATAGGCGCTCAACCGGTTCAAAAGGCAGGTAGCAATCGCCATCGACCTTCAGAACATGTTCCCCCTGCTCTAGGGATGTCATTCGAACAGGCTCGGAAATACATATCCTCCAGCCATGCATTACAAGTATTGTATGGGCTACGGTGTCCTAATAATCACCTAGCGGACGGGAATTCGGCCATTTTGGGTAACCTGAAGCATGCAAGCCTTGCTTTAAAGGAAGCGAGGTTTTGCATCCGAGAAGAATATGACCTATACAATGCCCACTTGCCTGCTATGTCAGGGAAGGCGGCTGGCGTCTTGGATACTGCGCCATACATACGTGTCAAAGAGGTAAGCAAGGAGCCCCAACCGTCAGCTGAGTTCTCACATGACCTTACTCAGGGCATGATCGGTGATGAGGTGCTTCGGCGGGTATTACATGTAGTTTTATTCGGTGATTCGAAACCATCTGTTTTTGATCGTCCTCCTCCAGGAGGGTACCTGATTACTGATGTATCACGCGCAGTGGTTCAGGTGAGAGTTGAAATTAGTCATCTTTTCATAGCACTCAGGTGGCTCCTAAGATCATACAAGCTATTGAAGAGCAAGAACACGGGCTCGAGTATGATTTGACTCGACAGACAGACATTGATGCGATCATCCACTTCGATGAAGTAGAGAAGAAAGCACAAACATTTCTGGCAACAATAAAAAATGACTTTCCTAAGTCATGGACTGAGCTATGCTTCGAAGTCCATGGGCTCCATCAGAAGGCACCAAGCACAGGTGGAGAAAGGTGTTGGGCGTTGAGGGGTATTCCTGGATAAATTTTTTCATGTACAACTAGGACATTCACAATTTAACAAGTTGAAGGGCGTCATCACAACGCTCCACCACGACTTTGCGGAGCGAATTGGCAGAGTGATTACAGGGTTCCAATTAACCTTCAATATAAGCAAGAGCAAGGCAGAGGTGGACTTGCAACGCCACGCCGTTGCCATGACGTTCCACGCCCTACATCATTGCATCTGGGAGTTTGCAGTCGGGGCTGGGACATAGGGTCCCGAGACTAGATAGTATCATCCTACTCTCAATGGACAAAAGATTGTATAGTTGACGTGCTTTGAAGCAGCCCGCAGTATATGGCGTTTGAATCACGAATATTAAACATGTGTGTTTCTACGGAGACGGTCGGTGGACGATAGCCCACGTTTAACGAATCTAGCATCATGACCAACAAGACGGATGGACGTTCAGCAGACGATGGCCTGCGTTTAACGACCCCGCACAAAGAGTGGCGAGGGAGGGACGTTCAGCAGACGATGGTCTGCGTTTAACGAACCCGCACAACCAGTAGCGAAGGAGGGACGTTCAGCAGACGATGGCCTGCGTTTAACGGACCCGCACAACCAGTAGCAAAGGAGGGACGTTCAGCAGACGATGGCCTGCGTTTAACGGACCCGCACAACCAGTAGCAAAGGAGGGACGTTCAGCAGACGATGGTCTGCGTTTAACGAACCCGCACAACCAGTAGCGAAGGAGGGACGTTCAGCAGACGATGGTCTGCGTTTAACGAACCCGCACAACCAGTAGCGAAGGAGGGACGTTCAGCAGACGATGGCCTGCGTTTAACGAACCCTCACAACCAGTAGCAAGGAGGGACTTTAGGCAGGGTTATGAGCGCTGTGTCAGAAGTATGGGAAGCATTATTGTCACGCTTATCAAACTAAAATCAGGTGCCTGCAAACGCATGCGTACGAACTTGTTTCCTAATTAATCGATTTGATTATCTCAGCCGCTAGAACTCGCTCAAGCCTCACCGGTTATTTCTCGTCGTTCATATTCTGACTCTGAGTTCTCTCCAATTAATTGCAAGCTTGTCCTCGCATTATAATCGGTGTTCTTTAAACGTATGTTAGATTCATTAAACTTTGATCTCGCCTGTTGCAGTATGGCTCGTCTTTATTGGTGAAACTCCCGTGCTGCGCTCCCCGAGTGCTTGCCGAGCATACCTGTCCTCCTGAACTTGTTCCTCATGATATGCGTATGTTGTTAGTGCTCCGCGTTGTTTGGAAAGGGTGAATACTTAATGATTTTCGACAGGTTGCTAGTATTTCAAAGCACCGGTCGCTCCTTACGTGCCATTGCACAATACAATATAGTGTCACAGCTTGTCACAAGCGGTTGTGTACTTACAATGGACGTAGTTTGACCGCTCCAAGACTTGAGCACGGACCGACCCCAGCCCGACTTTATTCATATCAGTCAATACTGCCATCGATGGTCATCGTCGCACCTTGTGGCGCCTTGTCAAGTTGTCAGGACGTTGAAGGGTGGTGCATCGTCGTATCAAAGCTTTGTGAACTTGATTTCACTCTTTGATTTGAGAAAGGCGTCATTTTAACATCTCTTCTGGCTTTAATGCTACTGTCGGCAACATGCAGAATTTGGGCCTTGAGATATCCTCCCCCTCGCGATATTTCGCGGAAAAGTCGATGGGCGAAACTGGTGCGTTGCAATAGCTTTATGTGTCTACCTCGAACCAACTTGGCGGGCAGGTTTTGTTGAGACCGGCCATTGTTGCGTCCTGCTTCAACTTCTTCATCGTCTTGTCACTCAAGAGAGCAGCATCGGTCGTGCGGCCTTACATCCTTGAACCACTCGCGCTGCTTGTGTCTTGGATACTCACCCGACTGAACCATCATCGGACGCGATCATCATCAACCATCCTCCTACTGTTTTGGCCTTGTTACACCGTCGACCTCGCGATATGGACCAAATCGTTCGTGTAGGGCGAAGTTTCGAAGGGACTTTTCGTAGTTCTCTCAAATGGGCTGTCGAACTTTTCTCTCTCCCGGCACACGCGCTGGAGTGCGTCTCCCCTGATGATTCGGTCAAGGATAATACGGAGAGCCCAATGGTCACGGCAAATGTATACAGCATCTGGTGATTTGCTTGGTTGACACCGTTGATGCAGAAAGGTTCGAAAGAGTTCATCACGACTTGCCTGCTTTGCTTCCCCATGGCGAGTCAGAATATTGGAAACGATCTAGAGAGCGCTCTAGAGGAGCAGTGAGTGTAATTTTGATAAAAATGGTTTTCTTTGTCCGACCGAGTTGCAGTTCGTCCTTATGGCTCGCATTGTTCCTACTTATGGCGGCCCGTACGCAGGTGCTGCATTCTTGAAAATCTTACAGGATATTCTTGCATTACTGCAACATCAACTTCTCCAACGGTGCAGCCAACCTCCTCGTTGGTCCGAGCACGCTCGAGGAATACGTTGTTGCCATCATCATATTTGTGGCATCTATGCTATGGTGAGTAATAATCGTTCAACAATCGTTGACTGCGTCACAGTTTAGTCAAGTCACGTCGAACGTCGTCGAGGCCCTCGTTTCCGTCAAACGTCTATAAGGCTTCCTGCACGCTGAGGAGCTGCAGCAGAATGCCCTCGTGAAGGTGCAGAAAAGCAGTCTGGACGTCGGTGACGAGGTTGGCAATTCTCTAACTACTTATGATTGTTTTCACATTTGTGACAGGTGCTTTCAATCAAAAATGGCGAATTTTAGTGGAACAGACAAGATACATCAGCTGCTCTGGAAGATATAAACTTGACGGTACACAAGGGGGAACTCGTGGGTGTACTTGGTAGTGTGGGCAGCGGGAAGAGTAGCTTGTTGTCAGCGATTATCGGGGACGTGCGAAAGACAGAGGGTGAGGTGGCTTTGTTCGGCAATGTAGCTTACGCTGCTCAGACTCCTTGGTGCGTCGCATATGCAGGATTTTCTAGCACGTTCACTCACAAGCGAATAGGATTCTTTCTGCGTTGGTTCGAGGTGATATACTTTTTTCACATGAGTACGATGAGGCGCTTTATAACCTTGTTATCGAAGGTGTGTACACAATTAACTGTGTTAGGTTTGGACTGACCCTTCTCTGCAGCTTGTGCTTTGAAGCCCAACTTAGATTTTCTCCTACAGGGTGATCTGACGGAGGTCGGTGAAAAGGGTGTGTTTCTGACTATCCTTTTGGCGACCCAATAATGCTTATGGCGTCCGTTCTATAGCCATTACTGTAAGTACTTCGGGATAGTAACGTATCAGCCAAAGGTAATTGATCTCTCAGCTCAGCGGTGCATCCTGCAGGGTTCTCCTTGGTGATGTTTTAGCTGCCATCTATTCCCACGTTGCCCGACACGTCTTTGGTGAGTAAGAGCATCCGGTCTCAGACTTCTTTCTTTTTAATGATACTATGTAACAGATCATGGGTCCTCAAGGCTTACTCGCAACCAAAGCGCGCGTTCTTGTCACTAACAGCATCTCGTATCTCAAGTATTTCGATCAACTTGTTTACCTGCGCCGCGGTATGATCTTGGAGAGTGGCTCGTACAGTGAGTTGATGTCGAATCCGGATAGTGAAGTGCGCAAGCTTGTGTGCGTCTATTTCCATTCACGATGTTCGACGCGATCTAATTGAGTTATGACAGTCACGGCCATGCCACGAGCGGTTCCAATTCTGGAACCACCACACCCGGACGGTCCAGCGGCATGACTACTCCCACTACAAGCGAGGGCCACATGCAAGCCACCCTTGTTGGAGAACTCGAATCTGTATCAGAGAAGGTATCGCGTAGAGAAAGTTTCAAAAAAGCCGTCCTCGCTACGCGCCTTCCGATGGCATCGCTAAAGAGCACAGTGAACAGGGCCGCGTCAAGATGGAAGTGTCCTCGTGGTACCTCCAAGCAGCATCGAAAAAAGGGTTCCTGTTCTTTGTAATCGCTACGGTTCTGCAGCAGGTGGTATCTGTCATATCGACCGTAATACTCAGGCTGGGGCTAGCATGACCGCGAGATGGGTACCAACCCGGGATTGGCCGACAAGTATTTCCTGGGATACGGTCTGTCTAATTTGATGGCAATTTCCTTAGGCGCATCTGCTGCGCTTCTGATTTGGGTTTTCTGCTTGCTTCGGAGCTCAAAGCACCCCCATGATTCGGTTAGTGTTACGTTCCAAGTATGGACGGAATGTGTTTCATTTGTTTTTCAGATGCTGCATTCAGTCACGCGTGCGCCCCTCAACTTTTTTGAAACAACGCCGACAGGAAGATGCGTCAAATTAGTAAACCGTGAAATGATTTCTGAGTTCGAACAATCTCTTGTTGCAGTATCGTTGAACTTGTTTTCTCGTGATACATACGTTTTCGATCAAATCCTGGCGCGATTCATCCAAAATATGATACGCACAAGCGCGGTCTGCGCTTCTATTTTATTGGTTATCGGGTTCAGCTTCCCGCCCTTCTTGATCGACGTCCTCTGGCACGGTTCTACTACAAGATCACCGTGTATGAATGGCTTTGTTCTTCTTCCAGAATCATCCTAACGTCATCAATAGGTACCATCTCGTGACGTCACGTGAACTCAAGCATCTAGATGCGGCGTCCCGCTCACCCCATCTTTGTGTAGTTCTCGGAATCCTGGACTTTTCGCTATCCGGGCTTATGACCAACAAGCCGGTTTCATTGCGAACAATGCGGCGAGCATTGTTCGCAACCAGTTGTGCTACCTTCCTAGTACTTCCATCAACCGATGGCTTGCAGTAAGATTGGAGTTTGTTGGAGCAGTGATTATCCTCGTCACGGCTGTTTTGGCCGTCTCTGCCGTGGTGACCAGCGACGTTTATGCTGGGTTGATCAGTCTAGTTCTGTCATACGCTTTGAACGCAACAGGTTCACTGGTGAGTGGCTTTCTCTTCGTCCCGAGGCATTGGTAACCGAGCGGCCGCAGAACTGGTTCGTCCGCTCCGCAAGTGAAGTAGAACAGAATGTCGTTAGCGTCGAGCGTATCTTCCATTACGCGAAAGACCTTGAGCCAGAAGCTCCTTATGAGATCCCTGAGAATAAGCCCACCTCTGGGTGGCCTACAGCTGGGGAAGTTGAATTCCGGCGAGTCCATGTCGCTGTACGCACGAAATTGTATTGAAATTGTCCGATATAGGGAATATTCAGCACGGTATCGGCCCGGGCTTGATCTAGTCCTCAAGGATATTTCCATGACCGTAGTCAGTTATTTCGCCGGGTTTCTCACATATGTATGCCAACTCGAGATGCTCCAGAAACCGAAAGAGAACGTTGGAATATGTGGCCGGACTGGGGCAGGGTAGGACATTTTGCTGGACTGTGACGATGCTTTTACAGCTTCTTCTTACCCTCTTCCGGATCATTGAGCCTGCATCTGGAGCTATTTTCATTGACGACGCAGACATTACCAAACTTGGCCTGCATGACTGTGCATCCTTTTTGAGTTGTCCATTTGGGGACTTGGACACCCCTTGATCTTGATCAAATCAACATAGTGCGGTCCGCGATATCCATCGTTCCTCAAAACCCAGATTCATTCGAGGGCACGTTGCGAGAGAACGTTGACCCTGTTGGCGAGCACCGGGATGTTGATATACGGACTGCTCTGGAGCACGTCCGTCTTTGAAATACGTTTGCGCTTCTGATGCTTACTAACGACACTTCTACAGGCCCATCTGAAGGCATACGTCGAATCACCTCCTGGGGCACTAGATGCTCCAGTCCAGGAGGTCGGATCGTCGCTTTCAGCAGGTCAGAGACAGCTCTTGCGTTTTGCGAGGGCGCTCTTGCGCAAGGTACGAGCGTCTCTTTTGGTTGATTATGAATTTTCATCACCGACGCTCCCTAGACTAAAATGCTCGTCCTCGATGAAGGTCTGTATGAGCGGTATCTTGTTCTTCTGCAAGGTTAATGTGCATGATTCTCTAGCAACATCTGCAGTCGATCTAGATACCGACCGAGCGATTCAAGAAACTATTCGAGGTCCAATCTTCCGCGATGTGACCATTCTAACCATCGCGTATGTGACACGTCCGACATCATCGACGATTAGTGCCAATAATGATCGTATAGGCATCGCCTGAACACGATCATGGAGTCTGATGGGATTCTGGTTCTAGATGCTGGAAGGGTAAGCACGCTCCAACGACGTTCATCCACAATTTATCTTTGATTGGCGAATTTTGATTGCAGAATTTGATAATTCAAAGAAGCGGCTGGAGAACAAGAGTTCTATTTTCCGTTCTATGGCGATGGAGGCTGGTCTAGTTCACGTCCAGCTTGATGATGCAGGAGAGAACGCGCGGGTGTGGAATATACCTATCATGCACAACATTTCTTGGGTTTGTTCAGAAATACAACATCATAGCCATGTAGACATTGCCACGTTCTTGCTCTGAATCTTATCTTTCGCTTGTCAGCTATTCAATCGTGATACTCGATAATGCAGTCGGGGTGCCCCGATACTCGCCTTGCGATTAGTACCGCAGAAGCATTGGATGAAACTAGGGCGTCTTTGCTACTACCCAATGCCTCGGAAGAAATGGAAGAGGTTGAAGGTGAAAAAGTTATTTCAGACGAATTTCCGTTCTCAATTGAAATTACTACCAGTAGGACTCCTCTCCAATAAATCACCCTGCCGAAAAATCTCAGGATCGTGCACTCAACAATTCAAGACTTGGGTTCGTACCAGTCCAAGATAATGTTACATGAAGAGATGTGCCAACACGTCTTCGAGGATCGAGCTCATGTCTCTGTTCCACGGGGAGTGACGGAATTTCTGAGAGCGCGGCATCAACTAGCCCATCGCCTTCAGCGAGTATCCCCATTCCAGCTGGAGTGTTGATCGCCATCAAATTTCCTGGGGTGGAGGTGATGCTAAAGCGATAAATTAGTCACGTGGAAATCATCGACGTTGCATTCTGACCAATCAAGTAACAAGCCGTCCGCAGACTCACGGAACTCGGGCGTCCTAATCGCCCACATCGTCTGCGTCAGTAGAATAGTGACCTGTCCTCGAAGGACACGATCGTCAGGGGCGCTTTCCAAAGCAGCTTGGAGCGTCACCATAGTGGCCTGAAGATCCCCCATCTTGAATGGCGCTAACTCTGGCCCGTATTGAGATCGCAAGCGTAGAAACTGTGATTCATGCCCCTGCATCTTCAGGAAGTAGACCTAGAACGTTTTCGAAAGATGTCAGCAATCCTTCGTAGCCCTGCAGTCTAAGACAAAGCCGTGCGACATTGGTGCGTGCGATGACGAATTGGCATTCGACTATGGGGTCCTCTTTCTCTTCGTACGCTGTTTCTAGGAGAGTAATTGCACAATTTATGTATTCTACATCCTGTTCAAGCTTTCCAAGGCGTTCGCAAATCAGACCGAAGGTATGGAGGCCCCAGCCATCAGCCGAGAAGAGCTGGGAATGGCGTCCGAGGATGAAGAAGGCAGGTAAAAGGATATCTGTAGTGGGTGCACGGACTGTATTTGAATCATTTACAGTGACAAGAACGCGCGAGGCAAATTGCAGGTCTGCCATAGGCTTGAACCGCACGTTATACAGATATAGGGCAGCTGGCTTGTATTTACCACGTCTGCTGTCATGCTGACTGCATGCTCAAGTAATGTGCCTCGCTTCATGGCGGTTTGCTATTGCAGTCAATGTCTGGCCGATCCAAGCCAAAGTACGATTCGGATCAAGAGGTTGCGCCTTTGTAAATGCTTGGGTGGCCCACCTAGTCAATGTCGTTATGATACAAGTATAGAAGACTGATCTTGGTTCACGCCACCGCGTTCTAAAGCGAGGTTGTAAGGGATATGTATCCTACCGACCTTGGTGTCAACTTCGATCACCTTAATAAATGCATGCTGCGACAGCTTTGGCTGAACTGTAAGGCTACGTAGCACAGAACATCAGTTTTTCTCCCTCAGATCTCAGTAATCATGATGTAGCCTGAGCCTGAGAGTGGGTACTATTAGTAACGATCGATAAGACCCAGATATGAACAAACATATAATCTAAGCATAATATTACATAATATAACTTGACCAACTATCTCAGTTGCGAAACGGAGGGAATTCATTCAAAAAGATGGGAAGCTACTGATTCACCGGTCGTACCAAGTTCCAACTCAGATTTAGACGTGGTGTCCTTTTTCGATACACGTTAAAATAGGCGGTTACCTTATCAATCAACTTCCGATTTCAGTGTACATCAAAATCGGCAGGTATCTAGTGATCGAACTCAAGCCGCACTCTCATGCTCTTGTTCATGCAGTTTTCCCATGAGCTGTATTCTGATTCGAGGTTACTAGTATAGCTTAAGCACCTTGTCCATAGTTTTTTCAAGGGCCCGGGAGTACCGTAGTCTTATCAGGGAAAAACCCAAAACCCATTTTTGTAAACCGTGTTCATAAAAAGCACCTCAATATTTCAAACTCAGCCTCACTGTCTCCAGAGTCCACAAGGTATGGCCGCTGTTCAAGTTCCTCCTCAGAGCATCTTCAGACACTATCGTCTTGACTATGAAGGGCTAAACAAGGGCGGAGCGAATAGCCCTCCGAACGACCATGAACAAGATTTCCATCGCTCTTTGGCTATTGCCAATAGCACGACTCGTCGTACGCGTCGTACTGCCACTACACCAACCAAACGCCGTGCAAGATCACTTTACTTATCTGACACCGGTCCCTATGATTCATCCGATGAAGGCATAAATGCACCTGTAACTCCTCCTCCCATAATCCGGAGTCTGTCTCGTTATGTGCGTTCTGCGAAAGCACAACCCAAGCCCTACGAGAGGCGTGACCCCAGCACAGTACAGCGCCGCTACGCTGCAAGCCAACTTTCCCCCACTGATTCTGGAACTTTACCGGACACTCAGAAGGTATGTTAACCGATGCATACACGCAACCTCTTGATAATCCAACAGCATGCCAGGGCAAAGTTTTACTCGAAAATCGATTGCAATCCCTATCTCCCGAGGCAATTGCGCAAGCCGTCCTCACGAAACAAGCTGATGTTGAATGGAGGCGCATGCGTGCTCTGACAACAGCTTGGGAAATCCAAGCTATCGAAGAACACAAAAGATTTCTTCAGATGGTTCTTGAAGACGACAGTGACACATATGTCAATGCTGCGTCAGAACCTTGGGACACCTCGCTCCAAGGGATCTCCAGAGGAAACGTGGATGAGCTCAATGAGCGCCTCCACTTTTGCGTGGCCGTATACAAGCCTGACATAACGTCGCTCGCCGTTGGAGACAAACAGCTTGATCTCGTTGAGGGTATGGCCCACTCCCTTGTCAACGATTGCGTCGATGGAGATCGCTTACTAGACTTCACGAGTTTGGATGACTCAGAAGATCAATGCGGCAGCGGGTGTGAATCCGAGTCCATAGACAGTAGCAGAATGTCGCAAGATTCTGTCAAGTCCGATGAAACATCTGATGTAATTATCGTATCGATCACCGTCACTTATAATACTGATCTTGCATAACAGGCTGGATAGTAAAGCACAGGTTGTACCATATTATGATGCCCTCTGTTCGTCGATATACTTTTTATTGGACGTTTTCCTCGTAAACCCGCTTTCAAGTCGATTATTATTCACATCGTGTGTTTCCTCCCTCTCTTTGTAGTAGTGTGTAGCCCTCATTGATTGAATTCCGCGTCATGATCTTCATGACGAAATAAAGCGTCTTGCATACACCATGCGAAAGCAAGACGTTGACATCGAAAGCCCCAATGTACTATATAGTGGTAACGCACAACCTGGGCGCAGAAGCTAGGTACAAGTGTGATAGCAATTGATCGATGAACGTAAAGGAAGTTGATTGGGTAAAAGCCCGTAGGGCTTTTCGGCCCAGCGCATGCGCACGGACCTAAGATTTCAAGGCTAGATGTTAGCCGGAGCAAGGTGCGTTGCGCCACTTTGTTTACTTAAATTTCTGTGCTAGCCGAGGCACGAGGCTAGCACAGACAACCAATATGGGAGGGTGCACTCCTGCCATAGCGTGATCCCACGTGGAATCAATCGGCGCCGACTTACCTTATGTAGCACGCGACTTTTAGGGAAAAAAACGATGATTTGTGTTTGCAAGTCGAATAAGTACAACATTCGATTTATTCGATCTATTTTATTCATCAGGGTCTTCTCTGAGCCGGCTAAGAGTAATATTATTATTATAATTTACTGGTCGGACCTGACTCATCTTATCAGCATCGTGCCGCCTCTAGGCTACCCTCGTGTTAGGGGCCTCCTGAGTCCTGACTCTAATGTGATACCGCAATATCCAAAAGGGTAACTACGAGAGCGCAACCTCGATTTATCCGGAGTCGGTCCGACGGCGAGAACGGTGGCAATTGACATGGACACTTCGGCTAACTTTGCGATGGGCGCAGTCGAGACACCATCACGCCTTTTTACGTGCCGACCCAACTCAGACGACTTCCAATATTAATGACGCTACAATGGACTACGGGTTTTTCGATGTAAGCATCGAAGTTCGTCCACACTGCCTGGAAATGGACGCTGTTCTGAAAATTATTACGTCCAGTAGTATGTTGTACCCCGAAATATGATATGCGGTTCTATCATGGAGAGCGTATGGTCCTATTACATACCGCATTGTGGGAATGATATTGCAGTGCGCTGGTCAATTTCGGAGCTTGATCGCGGCGCTATTTGGGAACCATTCAATAGCCTCACGTATTCTAGTCCATTTTGGATCACTCCCAAAACGCCTCTAGGTAGTAAGCGACATGAATTTCAAAGCAACCTTTCCAAACTCTAGCTGCCGCGATGCATTGGGGCAGGAAGTTGGGTGAGGTAAGTGAAATCGGACGCGAGGCAGGAAACGACCAAAGATTCAGTATGCCGGCTTCAGCCTGCAATCGTTATCAATCACTATTTGGTACACGGTAATTATCATCACAGTATAAACCTTAGACGTCTTTTTTCACTCTGTCATAGCCGCGACCTCCAGTGACCTCGCACGTTTACATCGAAAGGTATGTACAGCTACTTTTAACACCATCAGATGGATTTAAATCCTCGATACTACTACTAGTGTTGGTACTCACGTTCCATCAGGTCAACAATCGAGTTCAAGTTAGTATGGCAGACCCGTTATGGCCCGCTGGGCAATGGCAGGATCACGATTACAGGGACCACCATACGACGCTTTTCCACCAATTAAGCACAGCTAACGTGGATGAGTCCAAGCTAGTAGAATCTATGCTACAATTACCGCCGCAGTGGCGGGAGCAAGGATCATTCGAACTTGGTGGAACAAGCGCGAGCACTGGCCCGATTATTTGTCCGAATTCGAGTCAAGGTGAGATTAAGTCTCATGACTCACCCGGACTATTTCAACTCTTCAATCCAGCGTTCGGTACCAACGATGAAGTGTTCCGGCCACAGCCAGAGCTGGCCGTGCCAGGTAGCAGCCAGTTGCTACAACCATTCGAGTCATTCCCAGCTTCTCAGGCTACCCAAGACCACATTTTATCTTTAGCTAGTGACCTAGGCCAAGCTACCCCCTCAGGCTCGGGGGTCCAGGCCCAGCCAGTATATCCTCCGGCATTTTCGTTAATAGGGTACATGCAGTCACTGCAGTACCAGGCGTCCGCAGGTGGCAACCACTCGAATGCCGTGACGAGCCCGGAGCCACAGCCCAGTCAGGGCAATCACAGCATCCTACACGCCCAGTCACAGCGCCAGTTCTCATTGGGCTCTTTCGGCTCGACGTTCCCTTCGCCCGTTGACAACGGGATGGAAATACTGCAACGACAGGCTGGTTCAGATGGCTTGCCAATGCACGGCGGCCCAAGTCGAGGTAAGTCTTCAAACTTCAGTTGTTTTCGCCGATTCACGTTCGCAATCTACTAGGGTATGATACGTTAATCGAACAATCGCTACGGTATCAGGCGTCCGCGAGCCAAAACCATCCGGGTGCCGTGACGAACCCGGAGCTACAGCCCAGTCAGGGTAATCACAGCATCCCACACGCCCAGTCACAGCGCCAGTTCTCATTAGGCTCTTTTGGCTCGACGTTGCCTTTGCCTGTCAACAATGACGCAACTAAGGTGCTCCAACACACCGGGGTCCAACGCCCCAGTTCCAAGCAACGGACTTCTCGCAACACTGCGCCTAAGGACGTTCCCCGTGCAAGAAAGTCCAAGGCAGTGAAGCCAGACCTATTCGTCATTGTATCGCAGGCTTTACTTGGACAAGTGTACGACGAATCTCACAGCAGGATGATAAGCTTGACCTTTGAGGAGGGACTTTTTCCTACCGCAAAAGAACTTACAAAAAGGGCCACGAAAGCTCTAGACGAGGTTGTCGCCCTTCATGCAGACGGTATGTCTTCCGTACTATATCTTCATTTCACAACCCATCGATGAAAAACGTAGAGGGAATCAAAAACTGGAGGTCAACGGATGGCGAAGCCCGTATCACCAAATTGAAAGCCGTCGTCACAATGCTCCACCGCGACTTTGCGGACCGGATTGGCAACGTTATTACGGGGTTCCAATTAACCTTTAATATAACCAAGAGCAAGGCAGAGATGGACTTGCAGCGCCTCACTGTTGTCACCACTATGCTGCTGGACAACTCATTTCTAGATGGGCACCTAGAGGTAGGTGGATTGTATTCGCATGCCCCTCACGCTAACGGTTCGGGTTCTGATTAGATACCGGTGAACGCAAGCGAATCCCGAATGTGCGGGATTCCATTTGCGCATCCAACAATTGTCGATTTTATGGAAGAGATGTTGTCGCGCCAGCAATATTCCCGCTTTATCCCCTTCCATGAAGACGTGCAGTGGAAAAAATGCATTAGAAATATTACCTGCTTCATTGCAGCTCTATGTCGTTGGAAGATGAGGCACGCTGCAGGCATAGACACTGTAACACGCTTCCCTGGCCAGCAAGATAAGGACTGGTACGCAGCTGCCATAAAGGACGTCCGCTCGTTTACTGGAGATAAAGAGATAACGTTCAACTATTTCATACAAGCTATGCCCCGTATGCTAGGTCTTTCAAAGGCGGAGGAGGTAGCTCGTAATTCCGTCGAGTAATGACTATTCTGTCTCACTTTCGCTCGCAAAATAAAACCATGCTTTTGTAGCTCGTACTAACCCTTACGGCGCGCAGCACCAACACTTACAGTCTTAAAACACATCCTAAACCTCAGCAGCTCCTAATCCTCGTGATTCCTGGCCCCCAGTGAAAGTTTCCAGTGAAAACCGGACAGTGCGGGAACGTGTGAGAGCGTGCCACATCGTGCACCGCCAGCTGAAACCGCCCTCGCACGATCTCGACAAGAAATCCGGACGAATACACGATGCAAAAAGAGTCCGTATCATGCGGCGTCGTGCGAGAGTCGTTCAAGTTGTTTCTACACGATGTGGCACTCCCTTGCATTTCTTACGAGCGATTTGATATCGTGCGAGAACGGTTCATATCATATTACTTCAAATTGTAGCTACTAGTACAGAATACGAATACAATGCATGGAATGGTATGATACAAAAACAGTTGAAACAGAGCACGAAACCGATGGAATGAAAGCAGATCGAACAGCCCGCGACATGTGCGCTCAATGCAAGGTATCATCGAGTCTCGACGATTGCCCCAACTGTATTCTTGACCGAGACATTCGAAAAAACTGAGTAAAGATTCGGGTCAATACTGCAAATACAACTTGCAGCAATACTCACCAATTGAACGGCTTCGGAAGACAAAGATTAACAGAAGAGTAGGCTCAGCATGGCACATGCACGTGCAAGCAGCAGATGCGCAAATGCACATTGGAGAATTCGCGCAAAGTTTGCGCAAAGTGCATGAGTTTCGCTCAGAAGAATAGTCCCCCGACTCTGTGCGAATAAACGTAGATAGGTGTGAGTGTTCGAATCGCTGCATTACTGAGAGCTGGCATGATGATACTGACATACTCTACAAAACTGCATTTATCGAAGTTGCAGGTCAAGTTGACGTGTTTTGAAGCAGCCCGCAGTATATGGCATTTAAATCACGAATATTAAAGATGTGTATTTCGACGGAGACGGTCGATGGACAATAGCCTACGTTTGACAAATCTAGTATCACAACGAACAGCGAAGGAGGGACGTTCAGCAGACGATGGCCTGCGTTTAACGAACCCGCACAACCAGTAGCGAAGAGGGACGTTCAGCAGACGATGGTCTGCGTTTAACGAACCCGCACAACGAGTAGCAAGGAAGGACGTTCAGCCGACGATAGCCTGCGTTTAACGAACCCGCACAACAGTAGCAAGGAGGGACGTTCAGCAGGGTTACGAACGCTGAGCAGTGTCAGAAGTGTCAACTAGCATGGGATGCGTCACACTTATCAAATTCTTCATTACGCATGCATACGAACTTTTTTCCTAATTAATCTATTTGATTATCTCAGCTATGTAGAACTGTCGCTCACCCGGTTATCTTCTCGTCGTTGACTCCTTGTAACTTGTTCTGTGAGGACTGATAGCCGAGAGCAATCTGTCAGTTGTCCAGTTAAAAACTTATTAATCAAGCTCTTGATGTATGGACCGGTGACCTAAAGGTTCATTCGTTGAGTCTACCACAGTTTGCAATCGCTACAGCACGTTTCCTACCAGGTACCCGATGTTCCCGACGTGGTAGATATGTTAGTAACTGGAAGTTGACTGACGACGCGGGCCAAAGGCTTGGTACTAACATCTGGTTCCCGTACGTTCGGTTCTGTGTCTTGCTGCATTTGAATTAACGCCTCTCATAGTGTCACTGGCGCTGAGCTTCATCAGTCAGCCGATGTTGCTGACGATCATTCCATCATCCTCGATGGTCATGCCAAAGTTATTTTTGGACAATAGGTCTGTCGGTTCCCACTTTTTCACCAAGCCAACTGCACCATCGACGCATGCGCGTGCAGTTACCGCAGCTCCTTCATTCTTGTTTAGTATCATGCCACGCATAGCTTCTGTTCACCGCACCTGCTTCCACACCGACTAATCCCCTCTGCCGGTATCAAGCACGGAAACCAGCAAGCTGGTACCATTCTCTTTCGCAAAATACAGTGTGCTACCTTCCTCTACACCAATACCTACAATGGCACCAGCTAACCCACCGTAGATATCACCCTGAAGCCGCAAGTTACCATCTCTGCACATACAATGAGGCAGATGGCTCGACCGTAGCTAGCGCGACTGATGTGCACTTTTGCCAAGGCACAATGGGAGGCCATGCCTCGGACGATCGCATCGCCATCTTCCTGCGTGCCAGTGCAGAGCTCGTTAGCGGCAAGTACTGTCACAAATTGGTGGCAGTTACTACGCTTGGTCAAGGGAAGTGCTTGGCAGGCTGAGATTGATGCTGTCGCTGAGGTGTGTAATGTGGGATCATCTTGGTGACAGTTGATTAATGAAACTTTCGTAGCTCTTCGACTTCTTCCAGTTGATCTCTGGGTCACCTTCAGAATTTGTCACATAGGCGATATCGCACCCCAGCTTTGCAGCATCCCACTTCACAGGCAGCAGCTTCATATTCCAAAAGCTATGGAAAGACATTGCCGCAAACCTAGACAAGTACAAAGCTATCCGAGAATCATCGGCGATACAGGAGGGAGGAACTTCCACGTCGTCCACAAATTCGCAGATATCCGAAATGCAGTTTTGCGGGCATTCGAGGCTTTGAGTATCAAGGTTCGCATATTATGAGTGATACGCAAGATTGATGGACATGTGCAGGACAACCGTGTTCCGCGTTGTCGCAGCTATACGTTTCCTCTTCGATCTGGTCATTTGGATTCAAAGACCCGCTCCTGTCTGAGGTTGCGAAGATCGAAGTCGGGCCATCATCTGACTTCAGCAACCCATAACGTGCGTTTCGTTTTTATGCTTCGGGCTGCATACTGGTTACTGACTAATGTTGCAGAGGTCGTCCAGCCTATGACACAATAATGAACCTCCTCCAGAAAGCCAAGGATGCGGGAGGGGAGGTTCTTATTGGAGACACCAGTAAGGCGAATAGCATAACCAACTGCGACTTTTCTCATGATCCAATAGGCGATGACTCGAAGGAGTCTCCATACAGCCTGCCATATGCTAATCAAAGATCCTGACTCGAGTACGATGAAAGAATATTAGATCCGGTCATCACTGGGTTCATGTAAGTTGCAAGGTCTCTGCGACATGCATTGACTGATGGCTTCCTTTCCAGCTTTACCGCAGACCGCAAAGCTCTTCCGACTGCCACAAACTAGCTAATGCTGTTGACAATGTCTATCACAGCGAGAAATGCACTGGTGCGGTGGTGGATCAACAATCTTTCGGAGGAGTACGAGCAAGTGGGATCAACGACAAAGCTGGGAATATCAGCATCTTCTACCGGTTTGTTCCGGCGAGAAGCATAAAGGATTTTATGGGGCTGGAGCTGGAGGACTTCCAATACCCGTCGAACTTGATAATTGGCATTATGATAACAATGCTAGGAATCAACGTTGTATCCATTAAAGAATCGTGTTGTTGCAGGACGAATTCTAAAGCATCCTGAGGAACAAGAACACCAGAGCAGCAAACATCTTGCCTCGTTGCGCCGTCATTGCTCTAAGCTAGTAAGCTCAGTTGTGGCGCGCACTAGATTTTTGGAACCTGGTTGTGCCATGCTCTTGACGTTTTTCAGCCGGCCATTTCAATTGAACAACTTCAAATTCGGGCTTATGCCAAGTGTCGAATTGATATAGAAAAAAACTGTGCATTCAGTATTGCTACAATCTGAACACCGGCAAGTACGGCTAGAAGTATTGATTTGAAAAGGGACATTCAAGGGAGGGCCAAGAACTCACGCACCTTGGCATTTCGACCAATACTCTCCATGAGCTATGCGCGATTTAAATGATTGGGCTGAGCATTGAGTACTTCCCTTGGCATTGAAGCCAGTGTGTGTATTGGATCTCTTATACAAGCACGTAGTGCCGCTTCTACAGCTTCTTTCTTTGTTCATTCTCCTAATTAAATAGAATCCAGATAGCGCAAACATTTCAAAAATGTGCGCATTTTCAATTTATTCACGTATGTCGTCCTCAACGATGTTAAGTTCAGCATGATCATGATGGTCAGCGGCTAAATCGGCATCATGTGTGGCAGAGAACATTGGTGGCTTTGAACATCAATATTTGGCTCATTCGCTGAATGGACGTTCAAGTTGTCCTTGTGTGGATGCCAACATCTTTTGTTTAATACCAGAATGGCACGAGCCTCAGGCTGAGTGAGACTAAATAATCATCACCACACATGTATAGTATGTGAACGTCTTTATCCAGGAACTCCTCTTACAACCCAGGACATCTCTCTCGACAACTCTGGTTTCTGATAGAGCCTATGGACGTCAGTGCATAGTTTCATCCACGAAGTAGGAAAGTCGTCTTTTAGTGCAGCAAGGTGTCTTTGGGCTTGTGTTGCTACTTCGTCGAAGTGAATGATGGTGCTGATGTCCATCTGTCTTGGGGAATGAAACTGGGCTCCGCATTCTACTTCTTCCACAGCTTTGACAATCTTAAGTTATTTAGGAGCATTCTTAAACAATAGTAACGATAAAGCTGCTCACCTGTACCACAGCGGTTGATACATCGGCAATCAAGTATCCTCCTCCAGAAGGACGATCAAGAATATTGGGTCTGGAACTACCAAACAACACTGCATGCATCACCCGTCGAAGCACCTCATCTCCGATAACCCCCTAGTGAACACATTAAGGAGGATGAACTTCAAACCCATAATTCGCTTACGTCTTTGAGAGTTAAGTAAGGTGCAGTCTCCAGAAGGCCAGCTATCTGGTGTGGCAAGCGACAGTGGTGTAAGTTGTACGTCTCTCTGACAAGAATCCTTGCTTCTTTGAGACCCAGATTCTCGTTCCTCAAGTCAGTCAGAAACGCTGAGTTTTGTAAGCGCTCAGCCCATTGATGATCCAGACTGCCTAACCCATAGAAGGCATGCAATGCCTGGCTGGAGGCCATGCATTTGCGAGCCTGTTCAAGTGTCATTCCAAAAGCGAAGGGAACATGATCAGACCGCCCATAATGA